AACATTCAGAAAGATTACGCGCTTAACGCGTATCATAATTCAAGTTAATTTCTAATATTACAACACGAGAAACCTAACAGAAAGATAGCCACATTATAACTCAAATAAAAATGGGCCGGCTATGATTCATCCTGATTCATAAATGATACTCGAAAATTCGCTCTCGTCCGGCCACGGGGAAGCTAAATGCACGCAAACCGCTTGGTCGCTCGTCGTCCTTTTATGAATCGTAAATTTTACAGAGATATTTCTAGCTCTCTCTCTCTTAAATCCGACTGTTTTCCGACAAGGTTTTGTACGTAATCATTAAAATTCTTGGCAAGTCGTACAATCTTTCAACACGCATATTAGTGTTCCACACATATGTACGTTAATTAAATTCTTATTTTAAGAAAGATTTAGAAGCAAATCAAAAGAAGGCAAGTTTTAATCTTTATAAGCAACAATCTACGAATATATTTATTGTGCATGCACAAAGTACTGGTACTTTCTTTTTAGAAACGATGACTTCTATCCAAGAAACAATGGCTCCTATTTTTCAGCATCTAACAAATTGAAAGATTCGCAAAATAAGATGTAAAAAAGTCTATGCGAAGCTATTAGGGATAATTCGCAGCATGTAATCGATGATAACAGTAACCGGTAAATTGAATGTAAGAGTTTTGGAGATAATGGTCTTGTCTTTATTGAGGGTATCTTACAACTACGGCCGGCAGTAGAAAAGTAATGGCCTGCAGATACTATACCCTTCCGAATAGTTGAAATATCGGCTTGTCAGAAATTCTGGAACTAGAATTGCATTCCGCCGCTCCCTTTACCGGCTATCTTCCGTTTCCTCGTAAGATTACTTAATTTATCTTTGTAACTTGAAGTTTATACCGCCCTATGCACTGCATCCACAGTTTATTGTATAAATCTTATTAAAACTCGAATAATATCGTTTCCGTCGTATAAATCTGATTAAAAATGGAATATTACATTGTCTTGTCTAGCGAAACTTTCGTGCTAAAAATTTCATTGCGTTTTGCGTGAAAACTTAAGCGCTCTAGCGAAAACATTTACCCTGCGGATAAATTAGCTGCAAAAAAATCTAGTCTCTCCTAGCAGAAGCGTCTAACGACGCGTAATTATTGAATTACCAAATTGCAAAATTACGAGAAATTGCCATCAGCGAAGGAACGCTTCGCAACAGCCGCTGGGGATATTAAAATTGGTATAACGAGCCAGTTTACATCGTCACATACGTCGCTCGTTAAGTGCGTATTTATTCGTCGCACTAACGACATTAGAGTTCTTGCTCCGAAATGACCGTGCTCGCCATTAGACGGTGCATTTTTCGCCAATGAAAAGTTGCAACCTCGGACTAGAATGTCGATGACGAGAAAAACCGAGAATGACAGGGGTGGCGAAGAGGACGGCGGATGAAAGAGGAAAAATGTGTCACAGGCAATCTGTACCTAATGAAGCCGGCATTAAAGACCGGTACCACCGAGATATTGAAACAATCGTACTTCTGTATATTTCATCCTGTTGTGCACGCTCTACCGCGCTCTTTGAAGGTCCCATTTTACGACCAACATTGACTGTCGCTTCTCACTATTGTAATTACATCTCGATACAAACATTAAAAGTTTGTCTGCGTGAATTCTCGCAATCAAATAAGGGAGTCCCGAGAAATTTATCTTTCATTCTTTCTTAGATCGGCAATATCATTAAGTTCCTATCATTAGATAGCAATTTATATTGCGTCTTTCGCGCAGCATAAATTGCAATATGCATAATGATGGACCACTTGAAATTGAATCACTTAAGATAAAAGGGAACACTCTCTTTTTTTCTATTTTTTTTTCTTGGAATTGCTACCGTTCTCCTTGAATAAAAATAATTTATCGTTAGGCACAATTTGGAGACTCATCCATCCTATGCTAAAAGCAATTCCATTATTGAATGGAGGATTGGGGCTTTAAAAGAGAAGCCTCCAACTCCACCGGATGATAATCCTCACGCCAACGGCGAATATACCTCAGTAGTGAGTTTGTTAAACCCGTAAATATCGGTATCTTCATCGCGGACTGTGGGCAGCATTCTGTTATCTCGTAATGGATTCCATAACGGACGTTACATACGTGTTGGGTCGTGTCGTTTGTACGTACACCCCGGAGGGCATCCTCCTCTTTCACGAGTCTGCCCGTTACAATCAGCTGACCCACCCACTCCCTTCTCTCCTCTAATCTAAATGCCGACGTAGACTTAATTAAACGGCCGCCCACTCTCGCATATAACTGATCGTTTCCTTAATCGGATCGTTTTTACTGTCTGCGGATGTAGGGCGACACAGAGTATGCACGTGGACTGGGAATTGAGTTAGTCGCAGCTCGAGGGATGCGTCTGATCCACGCGAGGTGATATGCACGTCTCCTTCTCATCGTGCTGCATTTATTTCAGTAGACCTGAGGAAGACAGAAGACGGGAGGTAGTTCGCGTACTTGCAGTGCGGTACGCCTCACGTGACGTAAAATACGGATGCGCCGAGTACTGCATTTGTTCCAAGTTGCATCGGGAGTAAACTGTCATGATTGGCGGTGCAACTCGAGACGTCGGAACATACTTTACGCCGGTTTATTTGGCTTCGAGTCTTAGTGACAGCTTTGATTAATTAACAGCTAGTTGATATCTTTAGTTGCTTCTTGAGAGAATACGAGAGGGTTGCACAACACTATGTATGAACAGAGAGATGACATTTCAGTAGTTATGATTAATTAATGCTATTGGGATTACTTGATAACAGCTTGATTAATAATTGAAAGTTAAATTAATTATATAATTTGAATAATACAGTTAATAATATTTGTAATGAAAGATTATTAAATTCACTTTCTAATTTTAATGAAATTTACACATTTCATATATAATATGTATATATATTAAAAATGTAAAGATATTGTATATATAAAAATGTTTAATAGTGTAAGAGATCGAAATATATGTGAGCTTATTAATTTATTTCCAAATGTACACTTTTAATAGACAATTGCGTAAAAGAATTTATCACTGGTTTGCTTACCAAAGTTAAACCGTAATGACTCTTAGAATACATAGAAGCACAGAAATTATCGCTCTTTGGCAGATAGTTTCCAAAGTGCAACCCCTTTGTCAGCACTGCTATCTTAATTGTGGTAGTCGTAATGCACGATGGAACAATGTACACACGTGGCATAGAGTGACACAAGAAAATTGTCACTACCGGATTCGTCGAATCGTCCGTCCAATTTGCGAGGCGTTTAGCAAATGATCGAGGAATCTATTGAACGTAAATCCTGCAATTTCGAAGCGATTCCAACAATGGCCATTCTCTCTCTCTCTCTCTCTCTCCCCCCTCCTCCCCTCTCTCTCTTCCTTTCGGAAAGAGTGTGACACTGTGTGATTCCAGACAATAACGCAGTGACCGTAAATTACCTCTTTGCAAGGTGGCGAGCACAGGAGAGGCTCCGATTTGAATAGTGAGTAAAGTGAACAAAGTGAACAATACGCACAATATGTTGACTGAATTGTCAATATCCGGTGGGTTATCCCAAAGTCGGTTTTCATTAATTTCCATATAAAAAAGATCTGAATTATTATACATAAACAAATCTCTTATAGTGCCATAAAAACGAAACCGATTTTATCAAACTTTGCATTAACTACAATTTTATATACATATTTATATACATATATATTGTATTTTATTCTATGTTAATAAGATATCTTCATTATAATGCAATATAAATCTGATATGTAAAAAGTGAAGATATATATAATTATATAATAACGTATGTATAGGTATAACATAAATCAATAATTTATCTGAACCATATGTGGAATGTCATACATGGCTTTTTCTCCAGAAAAAGCGACTTTGCAATTGTTGTAAGATTCTTTAATCTGATTGGTTTATTTAAATCCAGTGAAGAATTAAGGGTAAAAATCATAATAAACAATTCTACAACAAAAGCTTCTTTTTTTTTTTGCTAAACGCAGTCATTAATTTCGTGTAATAAGAAATAAGCATATGTAGATTTATCTTCCATGATCTGCAAAACGAGAACTCTTTTGAATAAAACATGATCCCTCTCAATCGCAAATTTGTTTTAGTATTATGTCGCTTCGAACTTCTAATGAATTGAATTCTACATTAGGTTTGCAGTGATGTCGTGGCATTTTAATTGGCATTAAATGGCACAACGCTCTGCTTTGTAACGCAAGCACTTCAGCTTTAAGCGGTAGCGCAATGTAAACAACACGTGGCATAGTTACATAAAATCAAAGTTTCCTGAAATCAAACAATCGCTCGTGCGATCGCTGCAACTGTCAGTGAATTTCGACAATATATAACGCCTGCAAGTACATCGGAGAAATGTGTGCGTATAGCGCGCGCCTGTTTACATACATTTCAGAAACATGTCCTCCGAGTGAGTGCCACGAAAATTATGACTGACAAGGCGTATCCCGCGAAGCTGCTGCAGCGGTTGAAATATGCACGCAGTGCACACGCAGTGTTGCACGGAATCACCACAAAGTAATTGTTCCTATTGTAGCTCTGCTACTAGATATTAGACCACACGTCACTCAGACGGAAACGATAAATTATCCGACACTTTGTACGCCAATTTCAAAAAATCAGAAATTAGACCATTCACTTTAACTACGCTTAGTTATAATTATAATCGATATTGTTACGTCATATTGTAATCTAGTCGCATTAATTTTATCTTTCGTAATATTTTTTATAAGAAATGTCTGTTAATTAAAAAAAAATAAATTTATTATGATTTATGGCAGCTAGAAATGAAGTTATAAATTTTCAGCTTTTTTGTATAGAATTTGTATTTAAGTGATAATTTGCCGAATTTTTCAAATCATGAATTGAATGAGCCATGTGAAATAAATTAACGAAATATTTTCAGCGAGACATGACACTCTATCTAAAAGGTATTAAAAATTGTTTAAATAATTTTCAGAGAGTACATTCCAAGTGACGCTACAGAAAAGCAGTCGCGGTCTTGGCTTGAGCGTTTCCGGTGGCGGCACCGCGGGGCCCATCAGGGTGAAAAGGCTCTTTCCTCAACAACCTGCCGCCCTTTCCAACAAACTTCAAACCGGCGATATACTACTGGCTGCCAACGGGAGGCCGCTGACTGGTCTCACCAATTACGTGAGTAATAAATTATAATTACTTTGAAAATCAATGACAGACAGAAATGAATAAGCGAATCCAACTGCATATAAATAAATCGAATTAATAAACGAAAATTTACAGTTACGTATAACATTTTACAAATATCTTTTCACAAGTTTCGAATCGAAATTTACTCGGAAAAATTAGAGATATTTTATGTATCAATTGATATAACATTAAAATAATAAATAAAAGTTTAATGTAAAAAGTTAAGAAATATGTAATTAGTTTCTAATATTTTTTTAATATTGTTTTATTTGTATGCAAATGCAAGATAGTAAAGAAAATTAGAAACGGTATAAAAACTATGATGAATAATATACATAAATATATCTAACTATAAATGTTTTCTTTGATTTAAATATAGACTTGTTACTATAAATTAAATTTTACAAAAATTATTATTTATTTTGTTGATAACGGAGATAGTAATGTCTGTTTTCAAGGCGGAAGTAGCGTCCTAAACAAATGCTGATATTAGATAAACGCAGTAAAGCCCGCATACACACACACACACACACACACACACACACACACACACACACACATGTTCTTACATGCACTGAATACTCAGTAGTAACGATTCTCGACTGGCGGCCTCAGCCTTGCTCTCTTCTCGCGGTTCTCGCGAAGATTTGCATTGAATTAATACAGCTACGCCCGCGAGCCCCAGCGAGAGGATAGACGTTATCTCGCATGTACTTGGCAGCTTGTCCCACGAGGGCAAAAGCAATACTGTCTCCTCCTACCAGTACGCAAATGCGTATGCACGCGTCGTAAACTCGCACGTTCTTGTGGTCTCGCACATTCTCTGCGAAGCCCGCAGACTTAGCTGCGGAAGACGTTAAAACGTTGACTTTATCTTAACTCGATTGGTTCGTTTTGCTACAGAATACCAATCGGAAAATTATGAAATTGCGCGTTCCACCGCAGTCGTTGTGAAGTAAAAAATTATGCATTCACTGCTCGTTAAATGTAAATTTGGTAAAAAATGAAAGGAAATTTTTATACTACCATATATATATCAAACGAAGAAATATACAGGAAATATGATTTACTTCTTTCCGAATATAAATGTTTAAGAATTTTTATATTTTTGCGAATGTAATTTCTGTATGCGTGCCATAAAGCAGAGAACATTCACGATGAAAGATCGCGAAAGAAAGATATAAAAACCATTTCTGAAAAAATTTCAAGAATTTTATTTAGAAAGAAATATTAACAATATAAAACTTCCAATATAATCCCGTTATTACAAAAACAAAATGCTGAAGTATATTATTATTATTATTTGATAATTTGTCTATTTGGTAATTTTATATCCTTGTGTGTTTTTAGTAGTCAAAATAATATCAAAATATATCATATAAATATAAAATAATATTATACCTAAGCAATGTCAAATAAAAGTTGGTTGTTTATTATCTAGGAAAACCTGGAATTCTCAAAGAATTTCTATTTTTATTATTGACAATCAGAGATTTTCATAGAATTTTATCGATATTTAAGAAAAACAAAATTTTTAGAAATTTATTTTTAAATCTGAATGTTGTCTCATTTTGAAAACATTGTTTCTTTATTCATTTTTCTTTGATAATGCAAAATGTTAATTTGTTTGTTTAAGATATTTACATTTTAATTTATTTCAAAATTGTATTTATTTCGAAAATTTCTAATGTTATCTGGAATTTTTAACAAAAATTCGGAAATTCTCAAGGAATTTTTTATAAGATTTTAGTAAATATCCTGTAAAAATTATTACGTACTATTTGTATCATTACTTATATTATTTATATTATACATCTTATTATATTTACTATACATATATTACATTATATCATATTATATTATTTATATTTTACATATTTTCAATATTCTGTACTGTGTACTTGAGATAAAAAAGAAGAAAATTGAAATGATTAACAGAGCTAACATGGCACCACTGGTGGTTCAGTTAAATTTTGAACGTAAAATAAGGTGCATATACATATATGTATATGTGCTAAAAAGAGAAATAGCGGAAATGCTGAGTGCAAAAAGTGCAAACAACACGAACAGACTCCATATCAGAATTTTCTTACAAATAATATTTCTCATATATATGTATGATATATATAATATCAAATTTTATTTTTCAAAACCCGTTATCATCCGTTTTATTCCTGTTACAAATCACATCACAACATACGGCTTACTACCGCCACAGATAACTTTTTGCGTTACCGGAAACTCCTACCACAATCCCTCTAAAGAAGATATCGTCGTCGACGCCAGGACGGTGACTTTGAGAGCATTATCTTTGTGTTATGGGAAAGTCCGTGCATAATCTTATTTCGATGCTACTTGTTGCAGGAGGCTCTCGAAGTTCTGCGTATGACGCCTAGCACGGTGGAGCTAGTGGTATGTCGACTTCCAGGAGATAGTAATGTCACGCCACCCGGTGCACCACCGCCACCCCCGGCAAGGAGAGAACCGCCGCCACCGTTACGTTTACTCAATCCCCTGCCGCCCCTACAAATCGAACCCTGCGGCGTAAGTAATGCTCTACCTAAACTACACTCCATGAATACATTATGTTTGTCGCACGATCATTTCTAGAACGAATAAAAATAAATGGATAAAAAGTATATCTTTTATATGATTTAATAAAATCTACATAAAAGCGTTTAGTAATAATTCTGTAGACAAAGATACAATATCATTTTATACACGAGAGAAACAGTTTAATATTGTTGTAATAATTATCTTTAGGAATAAAGATAATTGTTTTATTATTATTAATAATAATAGAGAGTTAATTCAATGTGAATTTTATCAATATTATGGTCTGTGAACGTTACATTTGATGATAATGTGGATATAAATATAGATATTAACAAAGAGATTAATTTTGAATATTATGCATAGGATATCTGCATTTGATGAGAGAAATAATATTTATAGTAAACCTATAATGTGTACAAATAAATAATTATTAACAAGCGATACTTGGCTTTAGAGAGCCAATGTATCCCTAGAGAAACACATAAATATAATAAATTAGAATAAATGAATAAATTGGTTTCATGGTTTTACTCTAAACCGCAACAAAAAAATACTGACGCAAATTACAAATTGTCTAAAACAGATTTTATTTATGAGACAATTTCTGAAACTTAATTCATTATTGTAGCGCAATCCTCTTTCAAAAACACGTGATTAAGTAAAACGATAAGTTCGAAATGCACTTCGTATACGTATTACATATTAATTCCAATATTTAATTCTCCCGAGGAAACTTTAATATCGATCCTTCAAGTAACACTCATAAACAATAGCATACATACGTACTACATTCATTGCATACTACAGCTGAGAGAAATGTAAAACGTGCAATCAGATATTCCGCACGTGCATTCCGATTCGATAAATATATATTTTTTATGCAGTTATGAAAATATAATTTTTTAATATAATATTTATGACGTTGTATTATATTATAAAAATAGAAAACATATTGAAGTATCTGCAATCACTTGATATAAATCAGTAGGAAAAGCGACATTCATATATCATAAAATCTTCGTATAAAAACACTCAACTGTCTACTACGTAGAAAAAATTAATTGATGGAGAATTAGTATATTCTTCAATTAATATAATTATACCTATATAATTTAAGGTATAAAACAACGGCGAATGCAACTTCCAGTTGTGTGAATTTGATATCAAGATATATTTTCTAGCATTTATAATATTGAATTATATTATCAAAGAACATATTGAAATATTTGTGATGTAAATCAATAGAGAAAGTTATTCTCGTATGTAACAAAATATACCTTTTCGTGTTTTAAGAATACACAGTATTCTTTTCTATTGATGTAAAAAAAATTAATTAGAAAACTAATGTTTTAATCCTATATATAATTAATATATAATTAGTATAGAGTTTAAAATAAAATAGTGAATGTAACTTCCGTTTACAGGAGTTTGATATCGAAATGACAAAGGTCGGCGGCAGTCTTGGTTTCACTCTAAGAAAGGCAGACAGTAGTGCCCTGGGTCATTATGTGCGTGCACTAGTCCGAGAACCAGCGTTGAGCGACGGCAGAATCCGACCGGGTGATAAGATTGTCGCGGTTGACGGTGCACCGCTGTCACCGATGAGTCACGAGGAAGCGGTCCAGCTGCTGCGACAATGCGGACCGACGGTAAAGCTGCGACTGTATCGCGATCTGGCGCAAACCCCGGTATCGGCGCTCTCGCCTACTGAACCTGATCACCCTCTCCGTCCACCACGAACAAGCTTGAGGTACATCTCAATCTCGTTAAATGCTTCGCGTTTTCTTAGCGTCGAGACATTACCGTGTCTCTGGATCCGGCAATTGGATCATACATTATATCATATTTATACAGAATATGTGCTATAATCAACAGTATTATAATTAAAAAAAAAACAATTTTTAATTTAAAAAAAGAAAAGTAAATTAAAAGTATAAATTGAAATTGTTTAATCGAAAATTTATGCAAAAATATTACTACCAAGACTTACTTTGATCAAATATACTTCTTCGCTTATTTATAATAAATTGAATTTTTTTTCGCGCGATATTCTGATCTGATCTGAAGAACATTAATTTTGTAAATTATAGGAAATTATTAACGAGCAATTGCATTTACAGAATAGTGCAGTCTAAAATTTAAAAATTAAAATATTTAATTATTTAAAATAAAAAGGTTATTAAAATACATTATTAATATTGGAGTAAAACAATGAAAAAAAATCAATAAAAATGTCAATAGGGAGGTGAAATATATAATAATAATTTCAGAGACGCTGTAAATATTAAGAAAAACTTACAGAGATCTCAGTTTTGTTGCTATTCTGTCTCTATTTGATTCTGTATATCCATTGACCTATAAAAGAATATTTGATAGCAAATCTGATTCAATTCTATATCTATCGTAGATATTCTTTTATGCTTTCATATCATGTGCAATCCGTTTCTTCAGTAACTAAATCGCATATAGAATCAATTTATATTCTTTCATGCAACAGACAATATTACTTGATAAAAGATCACAAATGCTTGCATTTTATATTATAAACCGTTTGCTAATATGGTTATTTCTGGCTAAAATACGGCGCATATGGTCATCCATATTAACGAATGGTGACTTATTATATTCCATGTTATTTTCCAATAGACAAGAAGCTGTGGATATGTTATGTGACTTAGCAGTCCGGAAACTGTCACCTGGTGCATCGAGTGGATCTAGTATCTGCAAGCAACAATCACCTGGTGCGTCGTGTAATTCGCCTCGAAGACTACGTCGACTTGCCACACGTACTCCCACTGCCGAAACCGATCGAGGTAAATAATTAATTAATAATACAGGCAAAAATATAATTATAAAACAAATAGATTAATAAAGCTAAGAAAATACATGTAGGATGTTTAAGTTAAAAAATAATTAAGAGCCATCAATGACATAATGAAAATATTTCGATAATTAATTCTGTATAAATTTTTCCGAATATTCCGGAAATGAGAATAATCTGTTGAGTATATTCTCTTGAAATTCTCTACGGTAAGATTAGTAAATGTTTGTTACTTCAAAAGTTTCCGGTTACGTTAAAGTGACAATAGAACATTCAGCGCCGAGCTGTCTCTCGGAATTATCTCGAATCGCGAGGGATTGGGGCAATCCTGGATGATAGGACCCATGGTTAGTTTCTTCGTGGCAAAATCTCTTCACGACAAGTGTTCTCCGTACCGCAGAAATTCCCGAGAGCAAATTGCACGACGTGCAAACGACGTCGTCGACGGCCAGCCAGGCGGAGACCACATCAGACTCGGACCAGTGCTCCGTCAGGACGCAAATCACCAATTCCCAGGCGAACACACCTGCGACCGACATAATCGATCCGCCACCACTCTACGACGTCTGCGATGTCGACGACGAGTCGAAGACAATGTCGAACAATGCAGCAGCCAGGCCTCGCTTTCTCGATTTATCAGCGCCGCAAGGTAAACCGCATTTCCAGTTTTGCAGCATTGATTCAGACGGCGAATATCCAGGGGACGGCGACGTGATCCTGGCTGAGGCTGAGCACGGCCGGTTGGCTGAACCGAGCTACAACAATGACAGAAGCGTGACAGTGCTGTCAAGCGACGAGCATGACAACGATCTGCCATCCGAGCCGGCTTCAATGCCACCGGTTCTTTCGTCCACCAGTAGCACCAGCACTGGTGCCTTCAGCTACAAGAATCCGGCTTACCAGAGCGCCAATCCAGCCTGCGGCAGCGCCGGCAGTGATCCGGCTGGAACCAAGAACAAGACTACACACTCGAGTGATCAGGACATTCCAGGTAATTATTTCATACTGTTCTTGTTTCATTGCTCCTTTTTACCAGTCCAAGAGCCTGATAGATTAATGGAATCAAATCTTGATTAATGGTCTTGTTGACTCGCTTGCTTCTTACATTCGGTATCTGAATCAACCATTTTAATACTCGTACGATCTTTGTTTAATATTTATACAAGTCTTAGTTGAATTCGCAATATATAGTTAATATAATTACTTGAGCCGATTTGTCATTTATAATTTATAATTTATAAACTTACAAATATAATTTAGAAGCATAATTTAGAAAGCTCTTCAATATTAAATAAATTCATAAATTATAAATTTGACAAACCGGCTCAAATAATTATATTAATTATACATTGCAAACTCAACTAAATAAAGCATTAAACAAAGATCGCACTATAATAGCGCTAAGAGTCAACAAGTTTAAAAAATTATCAGTGGACAAACCGCCTTAAACATGTATGTCAGCACCTCGAAATTAATGTTATTGTCGTAATATTATGCTAAGGTGTTCATTCATGTATTTTATATCTACATATAAAATTTTAAGTCGATTTATGACTGTTTTCAAGAAAATAATTACGAAAAATAGTATTCCGTAACACATGTTCTTATATGATAAACAGTGCATACATTGACCATTTTTCTAGTATAATATCTATTATAATAACAAGAACGAAAAAAACATATTAATATAAACTAGAATGTCCAACGAACACATAAACTACAAAATATAACAAGTTTATCAAATAATTTAAGAAAAATTGATCTGTAATATCTAAATTTTAGAAAAATGTTATTTCTGTTAATATCTGCCTTCTGAAACATGGCACAACTAATGAAATGTGCGCGCAGTATGAATGAATAAGAAAACGCGGTCTCGAGTGTAATGGTGAACTGTACCGATCAGTACTGATTACAAGTCAAGATGATCAACCTTTGCGATTGATTATTTAGTGCGATGTTGCCAAATTTTATTCATAATATTTAGAGAGATTTAGTCTTTACAACAATAATATAATTTCCTTTTTAAAGAAATAATGCTGATACTTATCAATATTATATATAAAATAATGTATTACACATAGTATACTTCTAATTCCACCAATAAAAAAAGTAATTAGAAATGTAAATTTAAGTTGATACTGGAAACCAATAGGAGCTTCTTTACCTCACTTTATAAATTAATTTCTTTAAAAATTAGTTAATAATTTCGTTAGAAGTAGCAAACTAAAGATTAAATATGACAGTGCGTTTAGAAATAATTTTGTAATTTAATAACAACTATTTAATTATTTTGAAATTTATTAAATGTAGATGACCATTTGACTAGCTAAGTACTGACATATATATCTTTAATGTGTATGCCTTTACGAATTTAAGATTTTGTTTTGTGTACGTGTTATGTTTTTTTTTTCTCGATATTTTAAATGAATACGCATATTGAAACGGTTTGTCTGTTTATAAACTTATAAACATAAATTATTAATATTGAAGAGCTTATTTCTAAATATTATCTTAAATCGATATCGATATACATAATACGTATTATATAGATATTAAATATATAAAAACTTATTTTTATAAGTTCGTTAGTATAAGCTTATAAGCTTCATGTTTATTAATTCAAAACGATTAATATAAAATAAAATTTTTAATTACCGCTGAAATCAATTCTAATCGCGCAAATATACCTAGATACGTTCTGTCTTACTTTACACTGCTATCATTGAAACTAAATCAGCACGTTAGAGGGAGAAACCGATAAGATAATAGTCACATCGTTGCAAAAGTAGAAACGAAACATTTGCGAGTGTCAATTGACGTTATTACTTCTAACCCGATAAACTTGGTTTTTGTCGCACCGCACAGGAAAGATCTTGGGAACGGACGATCCAGGCGGTAGCAAGGGACTATTGAAGTGGAAAGGCGTGATGTTTGCTCCAAACGACGAGGTAGATCAAGACACCGAACACGATAGGGAAGAAACTGGGAGAGACACCACGGATTCGGTCGCTCCCACCGAAGACGTTCAACAAGGCAGTGAGGTTGGTTAATGATCTCCCGACATCATATTTTCGTAATCGAGTTTCATTTCAATCAGATTAGATTTCTATTCCATAACATCAACTAAAAGTATAAACATGGAATGTTATAATTTCATACTTATAATGAATAAATATAACACGTACAGTGTTACATAGTAGTTACACATCAAAGTTCTTTTTCTGCTCCTTTGTTATTGCTTCACTGACTTTAGTTGTTCCACTTAACGCTCGCAACGCTCATGAACATCGTTTTTCCTTATTTGACATTTGATAAATAACAAAGATAAAATGATTTCGCGAGCGTTGTGGATGTTAAGTGGAACGCACTCTTCATCGATGGCGATCTTATATTGTTAAGTGTGAAATTATAATATTAATATTATGTTACTTTTATTTGGTTTTTATTGGATCACAATCTAAAGAGATGCTAATTTAACTAAAACGGTCAGTCTCTAACAACAATTTTGTTAAAACTTAAACAATCAATTTAATATATCTCTTAATAAATATCTTTGTATTGTTAATTTTGAATTAATATTGAAATCTTGAAATGCGTGTATATCGAGAACAAAAGAATGTCGCGTCGCAATGTTGCGCAATTCGCTCTCATTGCAGGTGTTCATGGTGGAGTTGACGCGTGGGTGGAACAGCCGACTGGGCTTTAGTTTGCAGGCGGAAGGAAATCGTACAGTGATATCGGTCGTACATCGCGATAGTGTTGCTGCCAAAGATGGCAGACTTAAACAAGGCGACGTGTTACTGATGGTGAGTACATGCACATCAAATCTAGATATAGCACTTTATTCAAAGAACGTCCTGGAAAAAATCTTCCTAGGATATAAAATGTACCTTCTGAATGTCTATAGATGTATAGACTATATACCTTTAAAAGTCTACACTGCATTAGTACAACCCTTCACTTTTCCTAATTTTCTCCATAGAATATAGTTCACGAGATCATTATTGAACATATAAACATTTTGACGACAAATAATAATAACGATGACTTAATACAACCTTGATCATAACAAAAATAATATTTATATTAATAAACAATATTTATAAATATAAGTGATTTTTTAAATAGAAGATAAAGAGATTAATATAAAAATGATTTCTTTGAGGTTGTTTTTGTTTTAAAACTAAATTACTCCTCTTTTTGCAGGTTAACGAGGAGAGTGTTGAACATATGTCAACAGCTGATATAATAGATCTATTGCGCAAAATACGCGGCTCAATAGGCATCACGGTGATGAGGAAATCCAAACAGAGTAATGTAACGTGACACTAGTCCAGTGCGTGTGATCAAAATAGAAAAACCGAAAAAAAGACGCTCTGATCAATATTGTTCCTTATCAGTAATGTGAGCTTGATTTAGATGTGAGTTCAGCGTAAAAAAGTTTATACTGGGGAAAAACGTTGATTTTTCTCACTAAAGTTCATTAAGCTTTGGATAATGAAGTAGTAGAAATAAGTAGAAAAGCAGTAATTATCATAAATAAATAGAAATTATATAAAAGAAGAAAGTACAATAAGATGAGCTGTTACAAATTGGGCGAATCTTCAACATCAGAAAAAAGAATAAACCCGCCACTATCAACGACGAAGATCATCCACAGAATAGCATCTTCGCAAGATAATTCACTCTGTGAAAGAAAGCGCAGATTGCAAAAAGGGGTCATCTTCAATCGATTACAAAAGACTGCCGTCGAGAAATATTCGCAGATGCCATCCAGATAATATCTCTGACGACTGTTCGGAGATAATCACTTCTTGCGAGATTCTCTAAAAGGAAACTAAACGCCAGAGATATATGATTAAAATGTCTTGGAGCGTTGCACTGAATTCTCAATTTTGCGCGTGAATTAATCAATCTTGTAACGTTCTCCGCAAATTAATATTATTTATAATTACTCTCTCTTTCTCTCTCTCTCTCTATTACACTAGAATAATTACAGTAACGTAATTATAACACAATTCATCTCAAAAGAACGTTCGACACGTCGATCATGATAGATTGCGCATTAATTGTAGGATAATCGAAATGCCGTCCCACAAGTTTGAATCTCTTCGATCTCCAATTATCGGCGCTTGTCAATAGTATTCCTGATAATTTGCGATAATATTCACGAAAAGTGGTACCCTCTTATAATTAATGCGTATTTCTCCAATGAATTCGAGAATCAAAAAGGATGAATCAAAATACGACTAGAGAGAAATAATATTGCAAAACGAGACGGCTCAGTTGAACCACAAGTTATTGATTATCCATCGAGAGAAACGATTTAAAGCTTTTTTTTTATGAAACTGATATATATATTGTACCATAACTGTAAAAAAATATTCTTTTAAATGTTCACGAGCATGGAAAGAAAAACTCATTTAGGAGCTTGTAGTATATATGTACCTTACTACATATCTTTATAAATCACGCCTATTCCACCAATGCTTTAAGAAAAAAAGAAATAGAGAATTTTACGAAAAATAGAAAATTAAATAATAGAAATATGTATAAGTGAATTTTGACGGTAGTAATATATTTTTTATTTTTTCCTGGTACACTTAAAATATAGTTTAACTTAAAATTAAAATTAGATTTCATATTTTTCTGAAGACATAGCAATTTTTTCAATTTCTTCGAAAATAGAGCTGTGCTATTGTGCAGGACATTTATCGTGCAAATACTGTATTTTTATCCGATAACTTTACTGAAAGAGCTTAATGTCTACTACTGCAAATTCATATGAACAAAAAATGATGGTTATATCATGAGTTAACCTGTGCCGCTCTATGTACAAGAAGTAAATTTTACATGAGATAAATTTATTGTAAAAAAAAAAACAACTAACTTACATTTCAACTTTAATTTCGTTCATTGATATAAAATGAAAATTTATAATAATCAATATTCATAATTAAAGCGTGTGATAAAAGAAGTTCAACAGAGTTTCCTTATTCGAGTGAAAGAGATAATCTATTTTCAGGACTTTCCCTTTAAATGAGATCAAATAAATTTATATAAATAAAATAATAAATTTAACTCAATTAAAAGTTAAAAGTAAGAAGTTTTAAAAGTAAATAGTAGGAGAGACAATTGGCCTTTTTTACGGCGAAGACAGTCTATTCGTCGTACTAACTTATTTGAGGGTATTATCTCTGGTCACTTAGCGAATCAAAAGACAATCTATCGTAAGCGCCAAGAACGAATGAGTGTGGTAAATGAGTTACTGACGAATCTAACAATAAATGAATTGTGACTACTGCTTATAAGATGTCTCACGCATCTATAATAAAATATATCGATCTACCACGGAAAAATCGGCAGATAACTAAATACGGAACAAAAGTTAGAATTGCTTACAGCGTATACAATATTTGAGGAATGTATCAACGTTCGAGTAACTACCTCGCGTGATGCCATACTACAGTGGAACAGAGACTATTATTAACTGCGTGAATCTGTTTAAAGAAAGCTATTTTATGTCCGAAAACATTTATTTCCTAATCTTACGCATATATATCTTAATCATGTAATATCAGAAAATTGTAAGAGAGACAATTGATCATTCTGTTAAAGTTTTGTTAAACAATTAACGAAACATATATTAAATACGAGAGTTAAAATATATGAAAACCATTTACATTTACATTATTACATTAATGACGCGCTTCCTGAGCCGTAGAACAAATTTTCGTTCCTGCGATAATGACGCACCTCGCATACAAACGAGGAAAGAAGTGTCGGCATGATATAAATAATGGTTAACGGTGCAATAAAGTTAAGTAAGAATTAGAACGAGAACAATATGTAATGAATGTGATAGTCGTTCCGTTTAGAATTTTAGAACATTTAGCGTTGTAAATCTACAATAGATGAGTTATTGTGCGAATTGCACGGATATGTACATAAAGTTAATTGTACAATTGTATAAATCGATACCAAAGTTGTATTAATATCAAAGTTGTATAATATCAAAGACGGATATTTTACCGTATAATCAATTGTTAGAGACAGGCAGCTATATTTTGACATTACGTTAAGCTTATTAAATTATTGTTAGTATCTATGAATATACATTCAAGATATACAAGTTTTATTGAAATTTGCGCCAATCGTTCTACCGTTTAGGCTGATCCCTTTCCCGTTTGGTATAGTATAATATACAGGGAATGGAAGTAACTCGTTACTTGTAACGAAGTTACAGTTACAAGTTACTTTTTTGGTAACTTTACTGGTAACTGCGTTACTTTCTTTTTTTGGTAACTGTAACGGTAACGAGTTACATTTTTTGGGTAACGGTAACGAAATTTACAGTTACTTTTGTCGTTACTTTGCACACGATTGAACACGGTTCGATTGGATACATGCTATTTACAGCGCTTATCAATAAGACTTGAAAGCCCTTAGAAATTCGGCCGTTTGATTCAGTAATTATTTTACACTTCTATCTTCTATGTAATACATAGGACATACAAATATTTCAGTTTGCTGCATATTTTACAGGTTTTAGAATTACAAAATTGTGTTTAAAAAAAATTAAAAAATAAATTAAATAATAGTAAAATGAGAAGGGCTACGAACCCAAAAGCGAAACAGTTTAAAAGACGATGACAATAAGTGTCGAAACGTCGTTTGTTTTTATCTTGTTTTATCCATGTTGTTGTTCTAATATATATTTATACATTTAATTACATTGTCATCGTCGTTCTTATCGGAAATAAACTGTTTCATTTTTGGCTCGTAACCCTTCTCATTTTACTTTTATTTAATTTATTATTTGAGCCATTCTACATTGTTTTTTTTTTTTTAATAAAACTATATATATATTTGTCAGTATTACATATAAAAAAAAATGCAAAAGTACATTTTTAAATTGATTTTAAAAAAGTAACGGAAAAGTAACGAAAAGTTATTTTTCAAGTAACGGTAACTGTAACGAGTTACTTTTAAAAAGCGATAACTGTAACTGTAACTAGTTACATTTTTTACTCGGTAACGAGTAACTGTAACTAGTTACTTTTAAAAAGTAACTTTCCATTCCCTGAATTAATATATATATATATATATATATATATAAATATATATATTCAATAAAATTTAATTGTTTCTTTGGTAAAGATTTTGGATCCTTTCCTATCAAGAACATTGAAATAATATAACAAAGTATTAGACTTCGTAAGATAGAGAGATTATATATTACAAATATATCGAATTCTCACACACATTTTATTCCATTTTATTCCATTTTTTATCAATTAAGCTATAATTAATACGAAAAGAAATATATATATATATAATCAAGATTATCCAAAATATATTGCAATATTTAAAAAAATAGATCAGAGTAATCTTAAAATTTCTTAGAGGAAAAAAACCGATTAACAATATATTACTCTCTGTATACAATTATAAAATATGCTACACATAACAAAGAAAGATATTTAACTAATACAACTTGCGCTTTATTTTTTTTAACTTGTTTTTATTCTCGTTATGTCTTACAAATAAATATTAGATATCTGTTTTATATCAAAGACACTACAAGTAAAAAAATATATACATTAATTGAATATGTATCTGTAAAAGATTACTTAGTCTATAATATATTTCTTATTTTTACATTTTATAATACTAAGATGTGTAAAAATTTGATTTTTTTTTATCCATGATTTGATTGTTTTAATTCGATGATTTAACATTTAACTTATGTTGTTAATTTTCTCTTATATCAATTTTTATTCATTTTATTTCTCAATCTAACAGATTTTCTTGCAAAATTGCGTACATTATTCGTACGAATTACCTGCGACTGTTCCTTCTCACTTTGTGATTTTCCTTCATCCTGCATAGTTTCGCCGAAATTTTCGTTATTAAATCCTTTAGCCTCGCTAAGCCCAAGCCGAAGCCGAAGCGACTTTTTCACATTCATTGTTCTATCTGCAATTTTTTCCTCATCACTTAATGCAAATGCCATTTCGCGTTCTCGTTTTCTAGGAGTCCAAGTTGTCAGATCTTTATCTGTCTTCATATTTTCTTTTTCGGATTTCGTTCCAGTAGCATACTCTTCCATCACTTCATTTAATTGTTCGTAGTTTAATTTTTCTATAAAAAGAAAAATTCGTTCATAAAGATTTCAATAATTCTAGTACAGAAAAACAACTGTAAAAAGAAAAATAATTTTTATTTAGACTTTTTTATATATTATAACAAATTATTTACCATAATTATCCTCAATGTTGTTAACATCATCTACAATTAAATCTATATTTTCATCGTGTAATTCTTTCTGCCACCTATCTCTAGGTTTGAAATGTGCAACATGTTTGTTTGAGCTATACTTTGTGTTACTTCTATTTCTGTTAAATAAACTCGTTTGTTCTTCATTCTTTGTTTCTACATTAATAATTTCAGAAACTGATTTTGCAATATCAATACCTATTTCATTCTTCAAAACATCACATTGTCTCGGATGATTATTAGAAGTTATTTTTTCATGTTTTAAAATACTTTCAGAAGACAATTCTTCGGTTTTTATATTTTCCATTTTTATAGTAGGATTAAATGAATCCGGGCTAGTTATATTTGAATTATTTGAAATATCATGATTAAAAACACATTGATCATCGTTAGATAAAGTATCTAGTTCAACAGTTACAAAATCCATAGGACATTTTCTAGATTGCAAAGGATAAGACATGTTCGAATTCGAGTCTTCAATATAATTAATAGAATCTAATGACAGAAAATTACTTATTTGACGATCTTCAAAAGTCAGTTTGTTTTCTGTAACACAATCATTATGTAAAACATCTGAATTTTCTTCATTTAATATGTTGCGTTCAACAGAAATTTTTTGTGGATCATTGTTATGTTTTAGTCTTACAACTAATTTGTCAAAACTTTCCTTATTTGTAGCCACTAAAAATAAAAAAAATTAAGTTTATAATATTTATATTCCAAACATCTGCAAGTAATTTACAGAGAATACTTACAATACTCTTTTCTCTTTTGTTCTATAATATTATCTTCAGTGTTTCTAGTGATATTCGAAAAAATACTCTAAAAAAATGTAATATATCTAAAATATAGAGCAATATACATCTAGAAAAATTCTAAATCAAATGTTGAAAACTCTGTTATGTATAAAAGACTATATTTACATTTGACTTTTGTACTTTCTTCTCCAAATCCTCTTCTTCTTCACATTGCTTAATTAATTCTGATATAGGTCTTGGAAACATTTTATCACATTCTGCATTATAAAGAATTGTATATCTCTGTAGTCTATTTTGTAATGCTTTTTTATCTCCTTGAGATGACAAACCTAATTCTTTCAGTCTTTTTCGTATGACATTATCTTTCATTAAACTATATACTAATTTTGGCAGTGGTTTACGTTTCAGTTCACTTCTGGAAATAAACAATTATTTTAGGAAGATTTGACATTCTGATACTAGTTTTTTTAAACTTGATACTTTTTTTTTAAACTTGAGAAATTAATACAAGAGGTGCTTACTTTTTAGGTTGATCCTTTGTATTTTCCCTCCTTAAACAATCATCTAAATGCCTATTTATATTACTTTGGGGCACTTCCACTTTGCACACTGGACAGTTAACTATCTGACGATTTTCCTCTTTTTGAAAACCCTTTCTACTCTTTGGAGTAAATATTGAAGGAATTCTAGAATCTGTACTAGTGCTAGGAGTAGACACATCTTGCTGATTGTCTTTTTGTCTGGGAGGTGTGGTATTACCAGACATAAGCATTGAATTATCCAAATGATTGCATGATACATTAAGAATGTCTTGTTCGTTCTTACACTCAACTCCAGAATTTGCGTTTTTGACAGTAATTAATTTTTTATGATATTTTTCGTCATGTTTTTCTTTAAAATTCAAGTATTGAATGATAATCTCATCCACTAGTTTGTTCTTCCTTAAATCTTTCTCAAAGATTTCCTCAAAACAAATTGGACATTGGGTCTTGTGATGCAGATACTTCCTAATACACAACGAACAATCTAGACATATAAGACACAGAATATATATATATGTAAAAAGTAATTGTAACAAGATTTCTTCGTAAAATTACTCACAACTGTGAGAGCAAGAGGTTATTACACTCGTGTCCATGTAATCGTAGCATATCCCACATTGCAGTAACGCATCAATACGCTGTAATAACAAAAAAATATAAATACAGGTCATTTCACATTCTTTCTATTACCTCTCTCTTTTTATTAACTAAAATCACTTTTTTGGTACCTTTAACTCCACGTATTCTGTCGACCACATTGTTAATCTCGAGTTTAAAATTAAGGAAATAATTCAATGTCATTGAGTACCATCACTTTGTATCACTTCTACAATCCAAACCGTGATTATCATTAACAGACTCATATGGATCTAGTACTACTGTATAGATCCATTTTAATTTATTTGAATAAATCTGATGGATCCTACTCCACAGTCCACGGACGTAGTCCTTTTATGATGGTCTGTGACTCCCAGTGGCTCCTCTGTGATAGCCGGCAAAGCGAGGATAGTAAATAATGACATATAACCACAGATGTAGTATAGACATCTGTGCATATAACAGATGGCAGTCATGTTTCTGTTCCCTGTTCCTTTTATTCTGCGTAGCTCTTACTCCAATATAAATTTTAACCTATCAGAACATGTATACTAGAATGAACGCTTTCTAATAGGTTGACAACTCTTAATCCCCGTTTCTATAGTGCTTTTTATTTGTGTTTCCAGCTTTACCTGATATATCATAGGTCTGTTTTCTGGCTGAACTAGTGTACACTTTTAGAACTTAAAATGAGATAGGTATATGTTTGATATTTGTAGAAAGCAAGAAAGAGAGTTCTAGTTCAATCATCGAGTTCAATCCATATTCCATGGTTCAATCTAGTACAGAAAGAGAAAATAGACCACTTGACTAATCTATCTTGATCAGATTCTTTTTAACTGTTTTTTTTTTTGCTGCTTTTGAAACGATTGTTGATCGACCAGAATATTTTGGATTGAATTTACTCTTATCAAAGTAATTTCTAAATAAATAATGGGCATTGTGCGGTTAGTACATTCACTCAGGAATAGAAAGGACACGCTGTCACGGTATTCATATACTGCTTTGCTCCACGAGTTAAAATCGAATCACGATATAAGGTTATATTTTACAGATTTGTCCTCAAGTCCACCCTTGTAGGCAGTGTTGTTTACTACAGCATTCAACAAGGTCTATGGTCTAAATCCGAGGATAGCGTGCAGTTGTACGGGAAGATTTACAATAATATCGCACCTTACGTTAAGGATAATATTCCTAAGGAAGTCATCAATGAAGTGAGCTCTATTGCAGTTGATAAACAATATTTATTTATGTCTCAGTTCTAAGCAGAATCGTAAGACTCGTAACTTGTTCTCATAAAGCTTGTAAGAACTTATGACTAGTATTCTAATTTTATTATACATATTGTAGTATATACAATAAGAAGTACAATTATTCATAAATATCTACTTAACTTTTTAAATTAATAGTAAATTATAGCTAATAAGAAGCTGCTTGTAAAGATATTGTATAAAAGTATAACTCTTAAAAGTTTTTTTAAATTTTATGAGGACGTGAGCCTTCTAATTCTACTTAAAATTTAGACATTATTAGCATCATTAGAGTTAAGGGTATGTTTTCACACTTATATGCTGTAAGCATCAGTTTATCCTTATTGTCTATCAAATAATAAATAAAGATAAATGATGCTAACAAGCACTGTAAGTACAAAATGAAATATATCCTAAAACTCAATTATATCAATTACTTATAGAAATTATTATTATTATCATTACTGTTAATTAGATGTTAAAACTATAGTCATATGTTCATTTGTATATGTGGCAATATTATTAGTTTTCTACTTTGCATTATGAATTTTTGTTTCAACACTTATTAGATTCATTTAAAAAATAGAGATATTAAATTGTATAGCTACCACCGTTGCCAAGTACCAGTGACCTCTCCAATTCTCTCAAATCATCATGGAATAAAGGAGTCATAGCAAGCATGAAATTCCTGTCTGAGACTCCAACTTATGTAACCACCGGTGTGCAGAATATTTCAGAAACTATACAGGGTTACATAGAACAACAAAGCGTATCTGAGAAAAGTCAATAGCGTTTTCTAATCTTATATTGTGGATTTTAGGAAAACATAACATTATTGAGTATCATTGAACTGTTAGCTTTATTCCTGCCAGGTTAATTTATACATCTATATGCTATTAACTCTTTATGATTTTTCTTATTAACTTATTATATATTTAATAAAAATTTTATTGTAGTTAAATCAGTCTTTTGTGTTAATTATTAATTACATATATTGATAAACAATCATTATTTATTATTAAATATTAATGTGACAATATTAAATTAAATCAATTTTTGTAACTACAATACAATAATCGATGATTTAAGTTGTTTATATATTAATTTATAATGTAATATCATTTCAACACATGGAAATAATTAAGACACAATCCATGGGTTATATACATGTATGAATATTTATTCGTTCTCAAATGTTATACAAACTGTCGCCAATTATAAATCTCGCTCGATATTTACACGCTTAAATAACATTAACATGAGTTAACATAATAATTTATATTAACTTACGTTAACAAAATTCAATTCCCTGAAATTCAAAGTGATACTGATACGTCTGATTTCCAACCTATGATCAGATGAATATAAAAATTAAAAGACTGCGAAGATTAAGAATGTGCAACTAAATGCGAATTTTATCATGAGTCACAGTACATACTGGTCCCCAAAATAGTGATAGTATTATGTAACTATGTTACAACAATACTTAATCGTAATGTAATCATAGCAAATATATATCGTGCCTAGTATATGTTAAAAGGAACGATAAGATAAAGATAAAACGTGCGATAACGAGTCAAAGATGTATTCGCAAAAGTCCGTATATGCAATCTTAAATGCCGATACAAGTAATCTCGTGACGTCAAAAATAAACTTTTTTTGTTTTTAACAACAATATAGTAATATCTCTCGTGAAGTCTTCTAATATTTTAACGTACAAGAAATTGAGCTTCCTTGATCCTTCAACCGACTAGTTATGCAGGTCCTGCCTGTTCTTCATCCTCAGAAATGGACCCAACTCGGTAACTCTTAATTTTTGTAAATTTGACCCGACTGTAACGTTCTTTTTCTGAAATTTATAATTTTCTTGTACCTTGTTGGAAAAAGGATTACAATCAGTCATCGATTAAAGGATCAAAAATCGATATAAACGATGCCGCGCGCAATTCAAACTCTCCAATTTTTATTTTTTTTAAAAACTTGTAAGTACGCTTATATTTATATTGTATACATCTATCTTCCATATATATGTGTATATATGGAGGATAGGTGTATATATATATATATATATATATATATATATGTATAATTATTCTTTTTTTTGTAAATTTAACGGGTGACTGTGGAACAAGATCCACTAGTACGGTGCACAGCTCTCGAGGTACGGCTCACTTTCTAGGCTGCTGAATAATAATGGGGCGCGAACAATGCGCCGGCCGTGCGTCATGAGTCGGTATGGGTTTCTCATGAAAGTGTTGTACAGCTTCTGGTGGAAAATCTGCGTTTCCTTTGGCCGGAGCGCCGCTGATCATTATTGTTTTTGGCGGACTGAAAACGTTAAAAATTCTTTTCTCATTTTCTATATACCACTAAAGATAGAATATTAAATAATACTGAATTATAGATACTTTATGTTGCTTTTTACAATATTTTATAATAACACTAAAACTACCGATAAAGTTGCTAAAGGTACCAATTTGGTAATTTCTTATTCTTGTTCGGTCAATAAAGAATATTTTAATATTATCAGAATTATATTTATATTACATTCACATATTTACAATATTTTGTATTATGTATCCAATACAAAAATAACCTCGAAAATTCTATGTAGCGTTTTAAAATTGATATATAGATATACACTCAGAAAACATTATAATAGTAATTAAAATGATTCTAGAATAGCCGACATATCTTTGCAATATATATTTATATTTGGTGATAATATTAAAGATATTATTTAGTCTTCTCAATGTTTTTATTGTAAATGATAATAGATGTAATGATGTATTACAAGACATAAACTGAAATAATTTGATATCAGATGAATAAAGGTATACTCATGCTGTGTTAAGCAAACATTTCAAACGATATGATATATCACTATCGATTGTAAACAGAGATTAATATGATTGATGAATTTTATTTCGAAAACATATGTTATACATTTTCCAATGTTTTTGAAATTTTACACTTCGTAATTAATCGTCAAATTATATTTAAATTCATCTGTTTTCGTTTGGTGCTTCGCATAAATATAGTTCGATTCTCTCCGTGTAAATATTTTTTAAATATAACTCACGTTTGTTTTCGATTGCGCAACATTGCAAATTATGCGGAGCACCGATAATCACACTTATCAGAATTGAAGTCGCAGGAATGGATTAAGTAACGAAATCGCAATTTTTATGTCTTGCAATTCTTTCATTTCATATCTAAGAATATAGAAAAAAAAAGAACGGACATTGGATACGCCATATGTTTGATATACTGCAAGCTAGATTATATATAGGCAGAATCGGTAATGGCGGAGATCCAGAGGAATAATTATGTGTGTTATTAAAAATATGAGCAATAGCAATGTATAGTTATAAAGCATATAGAAATGCAATAAAAATTACAGTTATAAAAGAAATATGTATCATATTTATCATCAACTGATTGATAGTAATATCTAAAAAATTGATCTATAAATGTAAAGATTGATACTATTAGATTATGGAAAGAAAAGTAATGTCATATTCAGCTTAAAATTATACGTACATATATTCATTGAAAATGAATAAAATTTAAAATTTCTATTTTTAAAAAGTTGCTATATTTTTTTGTATTTCTGTGAGTTTCTGTAATTAAATTTTTACATACAATTAAAAACTATGTTCAGCCTTTGTTCATAAACTAAACAAAATAAACTTTTTTTTTCACTTTGTGAACCAAAAAGAAAATTGCAAAAAATTTCAATTATCTCTTCTAAATATTCCTAAGATTTTTTGTTACTGAGTTATTTACTGATTTAAAAAAGAAGAGCATTCTAACTTTAATTGCGCAAAACTATTAAAAATCATCCGCGTGTGTACCACAATTAAAGAAATTAGTTCTTTAAAAAAGAAAAGTTGAATCTTTGTTCTATTGAAGGTGCAATTATAATTTTTTTTTAAAATAAAATATATAAAATTGAACTAAATATATGACATTCCTTTTAACCATTGAACAATGGTCTAAGTATATGTAAAAATTACAGAAACTCAAAATATAGTGATTTTTCGAAAATAGAGATTTTAAGCTTAAATCTCCTATTTAAATTTCAAATTTCATTTATTTTTAATGAATATATTTTGTATATAATTTTGATCTAAAAATACATTTTCCTTTTAATCAATATTAATAGTATATTAATATTTTTATTATCTTTTAAGTAACAGATAGTAAAATTTAATAATTTAATAATAAATAAAATAAACAATATCTTTTCAAAATGTTAATTAAATTATATATTTATTGATCTTAATTCATAATAAGAATATATTTTTTATGCTAAAGGAACATATGGAAACTATTAACATTTTTTGTTACTAATTTTATTTTTTTTAAGAATTCTGCAGAATCGAGTTCAAAACTATGAAAAATAATATTGTAAAATATAAAATTATTCCAAATCATTAACTATTTAAAAATTAAAAAATGTTTCTCAGAATGATCAGAACCATATGTTTCAGTTTATGAGTTATATATCAGATTGTTGAAGAACTCAATCTGAACGTTATTAAATTTTTCATTTCGTCCCCCCATCTGCCCCTCGAAAATTGATTCTGTATAGTGAACCACTGTCTGCAGCCGTCTTTCGATGCCGGAATAAGCCGTTAATTATCGAATCTACGTCGAAGGACGACTGTTTTAGCATGTCACTACGACAAATATGGTACATCTAGAGTGAGATCTACTGCGGTTATGTTCCAAATTTACTGCCAGCGCTTGAAAATGTTACAGTTTACGTTACGCGCACTATAGATTTTCAGTACAGATAGTCAATTTTGGAAAATAGCCTTCACCTGCTAGACGGCCTGCTCTCCTCGACATCTTTGCTAGGCTTTGTCTCGCGTTCATCCTTCTTGTGTTGTGTTATCCTCATACCACCCGCTTTTACTGAAAAAAAGAGACAAAAGTCGCGCGAGAAACGCGCGACCCGGCATTAGGAAAACAAACTTCAGCAAAGTACGACCTTGGAAATCGGATCGCGATCGACAGGTGGCACGTCACGGCCATGAATTACGAATGCGAATCCTAACCCGTTTTCCTGCGTATTTCCACAGGGCAAACGAGGAATGCGGAAGAGGAAAATCACTAACCTGCCGGGGGATGACCGCCCTTCAGTTTACATTCGTCCGCGCTGCTTGACATCCCGTTGTCTTTACGTCAATCAAAACCTCAACTGAATTCCCGTCACAATATGCTGCAAATTGCTGACACAACGCAATACACACTGATTCTCTCTCTTTCTCGCCACTCCAGTGGCGATAGCATTCAACTCCACAGCTTCGACTCCCCGAGTTCTGACGCGACGCCTTCGTGTGTGTCGAATGCTAGGGGGGGGGGGGGAAAGGTTGTTACCACACATATGTCGCTTATATTTCTCTCGCGATATCTCGTCTTGAATATACATTATACACGACGGCGGATATATGCAAGATAAAGCGATCTATGCGCGTGTTAATACGAAGAAATATAAACAGATAATAAATTTAATATAAATTCGTATAATCCACATATCTATACTTAAATTTTCTTACTTTTATGTAAGTTTAAATTTATATCATGTATTATTAAAATTAAAAGATTATTTTTAAAAGTGTAATAAAAATATTTGTAAAGTATTCTTTTTTTTTATATTTTTATATCAAATAATGTGCACTTAACAGCAAATAGTAATAATCTATCTAATAGTAAAATAGTATTAAATAATTTTTTTAATTATTTAAATTATTTAATACTTTAATTTGAGAATGTCTAACTGTGAAACTTATTTAGATAGTTTAGATACTTGATTAATTTAAATTCAAGATTGAAAACCAAATTATATTAATATCGTTTTATATTCAATGTACCAGTTAGTAAACATGATCTAATTATTGAAATGGCAAAAATTTTAAATATTAAGACTTTGATAATATGCACAACTTTAAATAAATTCCCTGTTCATAAAAATTGAATAAGATAAATTAATTTAGAATCGTGTATATAAATCAAAAGCTTAATATTTAAAATTTTTGTCGTTTTACTTAATAATTAGATCATGTCTACTAATTGGTACGTTTACCTTATTACATGATTATGGGCAAACAGATTTTGAAATATTAGTTGATAAAATTGAACAATAGTAACAGAAATGTTACTTATATGTTAATTTATTATAAATTACACAAATAGAAATCATATCGTTTTATTGCATAAACGATTAATACCTGCATATACAGTATATATTTAATAATTAAATCTAGGAAGTGCTTGTTGAAGGTTCTGCTAACTTATCAGCATGGTACGCATAATGTAAATCCTTGGAATCTTGATCCGAGATATGCACCCAGCCAGTTGATTTCATGTGATATACTGTAATGTAAAATTATATATTAAAGCATTGCTTTATACATATTATAAAATTACACTACAACACCTCTTATTTATTTTATAACCAACCTCTTATGATACCGCCAGAATAGGCATCTCTGTGTGTGGCATGATAGATCGCTCTTCTTCCAAGTTCATAGGCCTGTTCATCAGTCAAATCCCACCGGTAACCAGAATCCAAAACACCAAACGCGAATACAGATCCAGAACCGACGCTGAAAACTTTTCCCGGAGTACGAGTACCCTCAGAATCGACATAGTAAAGTCCAGGGCCGCGCTTGTCCCATCCAGCCAGCATCATACCTACAAGATTACATAAATGTCCTATAACATCTAAATCTTTAGTCTAATGACTTTCAAGTGCATGATATATCATTTTATATAATAAGACTGGTTCATATATAATAAAGATAATTATCTATAAGAAGCATATAAGCCTACACTTAGATGTTGGTGTGAAAAAAATACCAACCATAGTGTAGGCTTATATACTCCTTAGAAATAATTATATGCTCCTTATAGATAATTATTGTAATACCATTTTGTAATTGTTTACCAAATGTTAAAGGATAAAATGATGTGTCATATTTTATATGCAATTTACAGAGAGAGAGAGAGAGAGAGAGAACTAGGAAAATATCTTACCAATACTCAGTCCCATTCCTTTGAAATTATAAATCATGTTTGACAAAAGTTTACTTGCTGCTGCGATAGAGATTCGCTCTCTGTTTCTGAGTTCATACATGCGACATTGCTTTGCTAATACTCGATCCCAGTAAACGCAATCAGCAGCACCACCAGCCAGAGTTCCAAGAAGATAATCATTGATCTCCACTATCTTCTTCATGGTAGACGAGCCTGAAGATCAAAATAAAAATGGATTAATTTTTGTCATAAATGTATAGATATTATCAACCGATGGTGAATTTGGCACATATGCACTGACTCTGTTTTAGTACTGCCCTGACATAGTGCAATTACAAAATCACTAGTACTACACTGTCAGTGCAACATTTCTTGAATTTTTTCAGTTTATTCGGTTGATCCGAATATAAATTCAGCACTATACTAGGTCAGATTTCATTTGCTAAATATGACAATCTAAATACACTGATACAGTACGCATAAGCCAAGTGACACTGAAAAAGTTTACACTCAGTACGTCCTAGTGCAATTTACCAAATCCATCATAAAATATACAATGAACTTTACCAATAAATTGTCCTCCAGTTGCACGTGAATCAACTGCTAGAACAATACCACCCTGATATTGGAAACCCAAAGTTGTGGTTCCATGGTCAAATTTGATTTTCAGACTCTTTCCAGTTTCATCAGTGCCATTAACTATTTGGCCAAGAGTTTCAGCTGGCTGTAACATAAAAAAACATTTGAAAAATAAGTTATTTTTCAAAATAATACGTTATTTTTTAAGATTTTAACATAAAAGCATTCAAGTATATAAAATATAATTCTAGAAAGTTTTATTTGTTGTTAATTTAAAGAATGATGTTTGTTCAAATTAGACATAAAAATAACCTAAAAATAATTGTGTATTGAAAGAGAATCGTAAAAGAAATTCAGGGAGTTTAATTATTATTGATATTAGTAACATTATTAATAACTGCCACACGACGTGATAATGATTGTTTATGTTAATTTAAGAAATTTTAAGTGTAATTTCCGTGTGTGAAATACGTGTGATTTGCATGATGCTGCAAATTTTGATCATAATCGTTATTGCAGGCTTACGTTTATGAACGGTGGTATCGCCAGATGAAGGTTGTTGGAGAAATTTCTGGTATATGTCTTGACTTCGTTGACGACCTTATCATTTTCTTGCGAATAACCAAAATCAGTAGAAGATTTGATTCCACAAACATCAACGAGAGCCATTTTACCCGAATGTTGACCACCGTCGACTACTTTGGACTGCTTGACTGCTTGTCATTCGTTCATCGTCATCTCAGTTCTGCCTGCTTCCAACAGAGAACGCTTGCGTCAATGCGCTCGAAAATCAATTTTGAATTTTCTTGCCTAGGATCCGCATGAATTGGAATGTTGATTTTTTCTAAACAGATCTTGTTACGCTCGAATTGTACGAATCTGCCTAAGATCACATTAAAAAATATTAGTATCTAATATGGATATTTTTCTTTATACTTACAACTATTAGAAATATGAATATTTATTTATATTTATTCTTATTTTATTTGCATACGTCTTCTTATAGACCTCTTGGACGCTTTCTTATGATAAGCTCGTCCAGTTCATAACTGAGCTGCGTACTACACTTTTACCTCTTGAATTGCAAGATATCTTGAGAAACAATTTTATATATATGAACATATTTTATATAGAATTATACTATACATTATATCAAATGTCATTTTTATATATAATTTTATGTAATTCTATATAATAAATAATATATTGTTATAATATTTTCAACATAACACTTATTAAATTTCAAATTGCTATAATATTTCGTACTATATAAGAGAAGGTACTGAAAAAAGGAACTCTAACTGTAACTTCCTTACAAATAACGAGTTATATACTTCTCAATCCTAGCTGATTTTTTAAATATGTGATAAAACATTTAATATTTCGTGTATTTGAAAAAATGATTTTTCTTAATATATTTCGTATAATTAGGAAAAAATTATAATTTTTTACGATGCACTTTGATGATATTCTTGTCTTAATCTACAAGATACAAATATGTTGATAAAATTTGTAAAACTAAAAATAATTAATAAGTAGCACTTATCTAATGGTGTAATCTAAGTTTGGACTTTTCCAAACGAAAGATTTTGATTTTGTTATATTTAAAAGAAAAAATAATCTTAATAAAAGCGTTTTTACCAAATATACTTATAAAAGGATATGTTTAATGAAGATAAAATAATTGGATGTGATTTTGTTCATTATAATGACAATAAAAATGGGCGAGTTTTTTAATTCGATTAATCAATCGCATTGTGCACAAATGTAATTTTGTTTCATAAAAGCTGTATTTACGCATAAAAACTCTCTCTATATGTATGTAAATAAATGATTTTATGTATTATTCAATGATATAACATCACATTTAATTCGAGTAAATGCTTACATAATGTTTCCAGACAGCACAGTAATATTTAAAAAATGTATTTAAAACGTACATATTGGACGTTTAGACATATATTAATAAAAATATCCAAATTAGATCAATGAATATTTTAAAAACATTTAAAAAAACATCCAGTGTTACCATTTTAGACTTCTTAAAAACGTTCATTTTAGGATGCAATGGATTAAAACTGGACTAAATTAATATATTAAACTAATTTTAGATCACAATCCAGACAAATTTGCACGCTGGAAGCAAAAAATTCCTAACTCTTATCATTGCGAGCAGCAAGCTATTACTGTTTGACGCATGCTGTCTGAATTTTAAGCTTTAATTTGGTAAATTTTCACGTTATCAGAGGTAACAAAAGTAAAACTCCTCGTGCAATTTTAAAAAAATGTTTACTTGACAAGTCAGCGAAAGCAACACGTCGCGAGCAGACTTAGAAAATTTTTTCTATGAGATAAACATTTTTTTAATGTTTAAATGTAAACATACTTCGAACGTTGAATAACGTACGTTTTTAAAACATTCGTATTGAGTTCATGGACGTTTGGACCAGATTGAAACTAAGCCTGGATGTCTAATGGATATTCTGTACTATCTAGGTTGGAATGCATCTGAAAAATATTGGAATGCATTTTAAAAATAATCCCTTGTACACACATATAATATTCGTTACTTAATTGCATTATATATTTATTTATATATATATATAAATACTTAAAAATATTTAATACC